TTTGCACCTGAAACCTTGCTTCACCTGTGTCCACCTCAATTTTCTCATCTGTAAACTGGGGTTGTCAATATCATTCTCATATGGCTACTGTGATGATCGACTTAGGCAATGGCTCAAAAGCCCTTTGGAAAGGCTGGAACACATGAGAGATTCATAATCATTAATACATGGTGGATATTATCATATTCATTTTGATGAATATTGTATGTATATTAATATATTATAGACTGTTACATTCATACCAACAACATAAATATAAAAGTACCTATATCATCTTGATATGACTCACATTACTACTATATTACATTATTAAGATGGTAACTGTTTTGACAACAGAAAGAGATGTTCGAATACAAAGCTGAGTTTCTTCAGTATGTATTCTGTTCCCTGGCATTGGTGGGCATCTAATGATGTGGAAGACACTTGGGGTGCATGTGGGCCTAAGGAGTGGTGCAGGGTAGGGCAGAGTGAAGGGAAGAGCACTCGGCAGGGCTTTGAACGATGGGCTCCCAAATCCCTTCTACCCTAGAGGTTCTATGGAAAAAAAACGATCATTAGGAAAGTTTAATCCTACCAAGGAAAGGTTACACTATGACAGAGGAGAAAGAATTTATGACTATCTTACACAGACCTCATGCTGTATTTTTCTTTTCTGTCCTACTTCTGGTCTAGCCTTTGGAAAATGCCAGTGTAAATTCTGCCAAGAGAAAGATAGTGATGATCTGAGCTTTAAAAGTGATCTTAGAAATCCAGGATTAAAAATTGGACAGCTCAGTTAAAGGTAAAGAAAAGGCTGAGAGGTTATCAAAGCACACTAAGCTAACATAAACTTTAGCCCGGATTATCTGCATTGGATGTTCCTGGAGGTCTAAACTCACAGTGAACTGGCAGGGATTTTCATGGGCACAAAGTGACTCTCAGAGAGGAGATGTAAAGCAGTCGCTCTAAGAAGGGTGCTTATGAGGGAAGTCTTATACAACCTCACACAATCCAGTGCAAAGCATGCTATTTTTAAAATTTCTTGTTTTCAGCCACTTATGCTTCCTGAAAACAGAACTAAGGGAGTAGATAGGAAAATATACCCCATCCCAAATTCGGTATCTAAACCTGGAGGCTGTGGGGACCATCGCTTGAGGATAGAGAATGTTGGCTGATTTTCTGAGAATGCCCTGGAGGCAATAGAGGGCAGTGGAATCAGACAGTGAGCATAACCTGGATCACCACCATCTTAGGGAAGACAGGAATTCCCGTCGTGGCTCCTCCACTAGCTGTGTCTCTGGAAGCAAACGCGTTAAGCAGTTTGAATCTCATTTTCTTCCTCAGTGAAAGCAGAATAGTAATTGCACCCTGTCTTTGTCGCAGGCTTGCTCTGATAGTTGTGAGGCTCGGTGTGAAAATGCTTTGCAGTCTGAAGGGCTGTGCCAGTGGGGCAGCTCCTGTCTGGGGTGGATTATTCTCAACCTTGCAACCCAGGCCTGTCGCCCTGCTGCCTCTGCCCTGAGAACCCTGTTCCCTGCTCCTGTCCATTCATTCCCTCTGTCTCTGTGCCCGTGCTATTCATGCAAACAGTTTGTCTCTGAGGGAGAGTAAAAAGCCCTGGGGCAGTCCCTGGCATGTTCATACACACTAACCATTGGATCATGCATCCATGGATCATGGACTCATGGTCTCCATAGAAAAGACAAGCAGGGCAAATATCGCAACTTAGTGTCTCAGGGTGCTGCTCCAAGAAGCAGATAGTTAGGGTTAGGGTTAGGGTTAGGGTTAGGGTTAGGGTTAGGGTTAGGTGGGTGGAAATCCTTTTTCTACCCAAGCCTGGAGTTCTCACCTAAGTGAGTACTGCCACAGGGTTTGGAGAAAAGCTGTTAAAAAGAATCATGTAAATTCACTCCACAGGTAGTTTTGAGCACCTCCTACAGGTCAGGAAGCTTCCTCATCTGTAAAGTAAGGATAATAATGCCCACCTCAACAGGTGGAAGTGAGGATGAAATGAGATAATGTCATGAAAGCACTTAACATGCTTGACACAAACTAATTGCTCCAAGTTTAACACATACACGTACACCCTTGTGAGGCAGAAACTATTATTGTCCCATTTGACAGACGAAGAAGGAAAAACACAGAGGGGTTTTATGACCTTCTCCGGGTCAGCCAGGTGCTAGCGAAACAGCGGGGACTCTGGCAGGATGGAATGCACTTATCAGTCCATGACAGACAGTGAACAGTCAGTAAGTTGTAGCTATTTATATCATCAGCCCAAAGCTCTTAAGGCTCCGCTCTATGCACAATGGCTGTTCTGTAAATATCAGTGGAATTATTTGTCTGGCTAGATAAATGAGTACTGCCACATTGCCCCAAAGGTTTCCACTTTTAACTTGCCCATTCTCCAGTAGCTGAACTGTCATTTTGTCATCAGAGCATCAGAGCCAACCTGAGAGTATAAATTCACATCTTGGCATTGTTCATATTCTCTCTCTTGAAGCGTGGTCCTTTGAAAACACGATAATGTTTATTTATAATAGAAGGGCTTTATGACTTGCTTGCCCTCTAAATTTCCTTTGCTCTTTGGGGAAGGCTGCTGACAGGTGGTGAGACTTTGCTTTAGCTCCTGGGCTGGGACCGTAATTAACCGCCAAGGAGAGGGAGCCAGGCAGGGGCAGCCAGCAGAGAAAAAGACGAGGCTGTGTGCTCTCATTTAAGAGGCTGGCTGCCAGTCAATTGTCAGAGGAAGGGGAGATTATGCTTGGCCTGCGGGCTTAGACAACGGTGCCAGGTCCAAGATAAACAGTCAGCCTGGTTCAAGCTTGAGAGTTCCCATTTTAAAAGGCTTGGGTATGTAGATTATTGGCAGTGGTGGAGTCCTCAGTGCCTCTGTTTCTGGGAATCTCATCAGTTTGTTCTCTGGAAAGTAGCAGCAGTTTAGGGTTCCTAGTCTTGAGATTGACAAGCTTTTTTCTAGGAATTTAGATTGTCATCCTGTCATAGCTACAACTAGAGGAGTCTGCCTCCCTTGAAGTGTGACGTTGCTGCAGGGAGAGTTAAGGTCAATGAAATGTTCATAGATTGTCAGACCTGGATGGAATCTTACAGTGGAGTGTTTGTCAACACAAAGGCTAAAAGTCATCTGCATCTGTGGTGCATCAGAATTGCCTGGGCTGCTTTACTGAATTACAAATCCTGGTTCTCACCTGACTACTTTATCAGAATTCTTGAATTGTGGGTTCAGGAATCTCAATATTTAACCAGGTTCCCCAGGTTATACCATTGCACAGTGATGCTTGACAAGCACAGATATGGAGAAGCAGATTCAGTCATCTGAATTACAGATAGAGACACTGAGACATTTAAATTCGTCTCCAGGGAGAGAGAAAGATAAATAATGCCCATGTCTTCTGACTCTCAAACAAATGCTGTTCTAAGATGACATCATGTTCCCTTTGGCTTCAAGGAAACTAAAAAGTTTCCTTCACAAACTTTACATTACCGTCTCTTTATCTAAGGTCAAAGCTTAGCTCAGGCAGGGGGCAATAGGCTTTGGCAGATCCAAAGTCCACTTATTACTGTTAAAATGAGTAATCGATTTTGGGAGAAATAACAAATTAAAATTTAATAGTGATGTCTAGGAAGAAGAGGTAGACAAAAATGGAATAAAGATATTTGTTGGCTTGTGACTACTGCTTGTTGATCAAGAACATTTTCTTTCTGTATAGTTATCTAAATAAGGCAACTTTATGCTGTCATGGTGGTCTCTAGTTCACAGGGAGCAGAAACATCTTATGAATGCTGGAGATTTCAAAATGCTTTCCTAGCCATGACCCTATTTGATATTCACCCCACTGTGATGAGATGTGTGTTTGCATATTCATTTAGGTGACGGGATTGAAAGAAGTAGAGACTCCTAAGTCTAGTTAGCAACTGACTTAAATCCAGAGACTATTAAAAAGAATATTAATAATTTTTTGTGAGTTTATTATATGCCAGGCAGCTCCCTGAGCACTTGACATAAATTTTCTCATTCAATCGTCATAAGCACATTACATACTTATCTAATTCATACTGCTTCACAGTAGTGATGTGATAAAGAAACTAAGGTAAAAGGAATGAATCATCTTTAAATTATTGCTCTATTCATTCAACAAATACATATTGAGATTTTTAAGTTCTGGACATTATTTAGGCTCCAGGGATGCTAAGTAAACTGAATTCCTGCTTTCATAGAGATTGAGGAGTGACAACGCTAAACAGGTAAAAAGCAAATATATAAATTGCTATGAAATAAGTCAAGAATAGGCTATGGGGAGTGCCTGGGCATGGGGAAGTGTTCTGTTTTAGAGACTGTGGTCAGATGCTTGATGGTTGAGCAGACATCTGAAGGAGGTAAGTGAAGGAGCATGGAGCTGACCAGACAGAACAAGTGCAAAGGCCTTAAATGTGATCAGGGGTCTCTCTCGATCCAGAAAAAATGGGGAGCAGAGTGATCAGGAGAGAGAGAGAGAGAAGTGAGAGTCAAAGAGGGGGCTGGAGCTAATGTCCTGTAGTGGTGGGGAAAGTCTTTCACTGTAAGAGAGATAGGGAGCCAATTGGAAGGTATTGAACAGCAGAGTAACAAAATGTGGTACATTTCAGGACTGCTCTGAATGCTCTGGGGGGTAAAACTGACAGAGTGCAAGAGTGGAATTTGCCCAAGGTCAGGCAACTATTAAGTGTTTGGTGTTGGTAGGGGGACACTGTCTGAATTTTCATATCTGGCTTCCTGAACTAGGCTTCCAGAGGAGGCTGAGATGTGTCTAGAGAGCATGCTGTTCATACTTTCTGTGTGTCCTGTGCTTAGTTCCCTCCTGACACATGCAATAAGCTCTCGATATATACAGGGGATGCTGCCTTCTCTGGCAAAGGGCAGGAGTCCATTGGGATGGGCCAGCAGGCAGAGCTGTGCTCGATGCGTGTGGACATAGCCAGAGCTGCTCTCAAAGCCATGGCCTCAGGTAGCCCTCGCTCACCTTGGACTTCTCTTGATGCAGCTCTATCTGAATGTCTGTGAGCTTGGTCCTGAGGTCTTCATTGGCAGCTTGGAGGGCAACAATGAGTGCCTCGGGCTTCTCGCCCTTATTTCGCCCTTTCTTGGACATTGTTCCTTTCTAAATGGAGTCTGTTGGTTTTTAATTTCTTTCAAGCAGGTGCTGCCATGTTACTGTTTCTTATCCTGGAGTGCGATGTCTCAGCATCTACTGTGTGGTGCTCCTTGGTAAGGTCTCCTCAACCGCTGCCCTGGAAGCCCTGAGAAGAGGCAGAGATAGTAGTTATTGTTTTGGCAAAGACCTGGTCTAAGTGCCAGTCAGTCTACTCTCAGCCTGAGTTGCCTGTAAGAACCTCCTTCTGAGGCTCTTCTGTCCTCAGTATCTCCTGTCCACTTTGTATGTAAATTTAGAGTGATTTTTTTTTTTCAAAAAGCTTATCTAATTATGTCAATATCCTGCTTAAAATCCTTCACCTATAAGCATATCTGTTTGATGTCTTCGAGTGTTCTTTTTACCTGAAACTGCCCGCTTTTCTATCCTTATCTCCTTCATGTCACTCAAGGATACTCCAAATATAAGAAACATGGTTGTTAAGGGAAGTCACTATGTGACGACCTCATAAGGCAGAGAGACCTAACTTTAAGAAAACCCAATATATAAAGACAGGATTACATGCAATGGCTAAATTGTGAGAAGTGGGGAATAACTATGAATGAATCACTGGATTGAGTCACTCATATATTCATTCATTCAGTCGATATTGTTAGAGCTCCTTCCATATGCTGTGCTAGGTACAGAATGTTGAAATAGAAAAATAAGTCAGAGTTCCAATGGGAAAAAAATTACCTATCATTTCTCTCTCTTTCTCTATCCATCTACATCACCATTAATAATCTGATAAGCATTTTTTAAAAAAAATATGCATGAATTGTTTCAGAAGTATAATCAGTGACCTCTCTTTCCACCTGCGATGAATAGGAAAGGCTTCCTGAAGAAGACACCATTGGCTCGGAACTTGAGGAGTGGGTAAGATGATAACAGATGGAGAAACAGGTGAAGCATCATGGGCAAGGAAAGTAGCAGGTGCTGAGACACGACAGAGAGAAATCACAGTGACTATTTTGTGGGAAGAAATAGGGCCTGATTAATTATACCCCAAAATGTGGTTGATGGGCACTAATGCTGGAAAGCTTTCCTGGAAAGGAAGGATGGCAGGGAGACCTAGAATTCCAAGCTTAGAATGTTTGAATCCTTTTTAAGTAAGCAATGGGGAAGCTGTTGAAGTTCTTGGCAGGTGTTTGCGCTAACAGAGCAGTACTTTGGGGTGGTTATTCTGGTGGCAGAATGGAGAGTGAATGGATGCCGGGAGACCAGATAGGAGGCAACTGAATTTGTCCAGGTAAAGGATGAAAGCCTAATCAGAATGTTGGCAAGAGGAGAGAAAAGGAGTCGCAGGAGGCAGATGTGTCTTGATTTACAAATTCTTGAATACTTCATAGGAACAAGGAACCCAGAAAAAAGGATACTAAATAATTAAAGTCAATGGGAAAAACATGGCAAGATCCTAGAGAAAGTTTCCCACGTAACCTTTCAGAAAATTGGGCATTGTGTATATTGAGGATTTTCTGTCCAGAGCTAAGGAGAACTCCTGCTGACCACCCATATGTTCCAGCAGCTGCTGCTCTCTTAAGACCATTGTATCTAGCATTGACAGCCATGCTGGGATCCTGGGCTTTGTGCCATCTGCTCATGAGCACTGAAGTTATGCTCTTTGGAGTGTGTCCCTGGGGAAGGGGACAGGGCGAGATTAGGAGGTAGGAATGATGTCTACAGCAGTTGTGCAAACTGTCCACCACATCCATCCTGTGCCACATGCTAGGGCTGTCCTTCATGCTTCCTTCACAAATCTGGCCAAATTATTAAAGTGCAGGGCTGCGAGGCCTCTGACAGGGTACTTTTCTTTGCTTTTAGTTTTGGAATGAACTCAGCAAGCATATATTGAACATTTGTGTGACAAGCATCACTAGGCATACTGACAAATAAGATAGTCCTTCAGCTCAAGTAGGTACTGAGTGAGTAAATTCACTTGTGTATCTAACGGGTTTCTCTCTATTTGCTTTCTAAATGTTGTTGCTGTTTTGGGCTTTTCCAGCTGACCTCCACTGGTCTCCTGTATAGTTATGACCCATAGTTCTATATCCATAGCCCCGACCATTATTCAAACACCAGACTTGTATATACATAAACGCTTTACTTATCAAATCCACTTGAATATCGGATTGGCATCTCAAACCTAGCATAACTAATACAGATGTCTTTATTACACTAGTCCCCCGAAACCTTATTGTCCCCAGGTTTTCCTAGATTATTAAACGGCAAAACCACATTCTCAGCTGTCCCAGATATAAGCTTAGAAATCATCTTTTCTTCTATTTCATTCCTTGTTTCTCTTTTTCAGTTCACTAAGAAGTTCTGCTTGCTTTGCCTATAAAATGTGACTCTCTTTGACCAATTTCCCTCAAACCCCTAAAATGCTGTTAGAACACAGAGAAAAAAACGGAGCTTGGGAATAGCTTCATAGTCCCTTCACTGTTGTCTTCTTGAATGAAAAACAGGTTTTTCTAAGCCCATACATGGAGTGGTAGATAAAGAGCTTGAGCAAAAACCTGAAGTCACAAATTTGCCTAGTGTATTTAGAAAAGGTTGTGAACTGGAAGAGCAACAGGTGAGATTTCAAAGGTTCTTGCATGATAGGCTAGGGAGTGTGGAGTGGATTATACAGGCATGCGGAAGCATGGTAGCGTTTGAACATATGTGTAATAATAAGAGCTGCTAGTGACTGACTGCTTATGATGAGTCTGTCACGGGACTGAGGGCTTAACATACTGTTCTGACAATTCTCACAAAGTTTAGTGAAAAATGATGAACTGAAAGATTAGGTAACTTGCCTAAATGGACCAAGTTGATTGGTGGTGATGCTCAGACTCGAATCTAAGCAATTTGAGACTGCGAATAAAGCTCTTATTCTCTGGACTGCACTGCCTTGTATTTGCATTTTAGGAAGGTAACTGTCAGGATCGCGGAAGATGGTGAAAGAAAGTCAGTTAGGCTGCTTTGCTTTAAGGGTCCATGTGAGTGGTAATACAGCCCTCAACAGATAAAAAAAGGTGGCGACTTTGACACAAGGAGTCATTGATGGAATCATGCCAAATTTGTAAACATTACTACTGGTTTGAACATTCTTCTCTCCCATTGTAAATATTGAGTATGAGCTCTACAGAATTGCTTGTAGCAAAAATGTGCAAAGAGACAGATATAATAAATACATTTTACATCTTAATTTATAATTCTACCTAAAAATATAACACTATGTGCCGGACTTTATCTATTTTTAGCCTGGGAAGTATTGTGAACTTAGTCTCACAAAGACTGAGGAAAAGGAAAGGGTGAAAAAAAATGGCATGCACATTCAGAAGAGAAAAAAGCATCCCAGGAAGTTATTGATAGCATCAGCTTATGGGTGCTTTAAGGTGAGCAACTTCAAACCATGGTCCCATACACCCCTCTGGTGGAGGAGAACTTCCCAAACTCTCTCTGGTTGCAATGGGTGCCTGGCAATCTCATGATTCTAAGACTTTAATGTTACTGCATCTCTTTTGTCTCTTTGTGCTTGCTTTTTTCTTTTCTTTTCATAACTTCTTTGAGATATAAGTCACATACTGTAACATTCACACTTTTAAAATGTACAATTCAGTGGGTTTTCATGTATTTACAAGGTTGCACAAACATCATCACAATCAATCTGAGAGTATTTTCATCACCTCCAAAAGAAACTCTGTACCTAAGAGCCATCATTCACTATTCCCTACCCAGCTCTCCCAGCCCTAGGCAACCACTAGACTATTTAGTGTTTTGTCTCTACTTAGATTTGTCCCTATGGATTTGTCTATTCATGAGATATTGTGTACAAATGGAATCATATGATATGTATTTTTTTTGTGACTGGCTCTTTCCACTTTAGCATAATGTTTTCCAGGTTCATCCACATTGTAGCATGGATTGATACTTCATTTTTAATTGCTGAATAATATTCTATTGTAAGGATAAACTGCATCTTCTGTACCCATTCATTGCCTAATGGACACTCTTGCTGCCTTTGTGTAAGTGACTGAAGGTCAGGTTTCTACAGAAGCTGCCTGCCATGACGGGGGATGTCACTCGTGAAGGAGTGCATAAAAGAGAGTGCCTGAGGGTATCACAGCACACAGGTAGAATGTTTCTGGACACCCCAAGAGTCCTTGCCCCTGATGATGTCTAACCCAGCAGGTTATCAGCAGGGAGGATAGGAACCTTGTTCCACCAAGGGCCAATTTCTGTGGGAGCTTTACAACATAAAAAACTTGAAGGAACTTTAAGTGAGCCCTAGGTTTCTAGCTCCTAGCTGCATGGTCAGACAGCAGTAGTCCCAGGAGACATTGTAAGCTATATAATATGTAAATTTTAGCTTACTTTCTGGCCTTCGACTATCCTTAATCAGACACTTCATACAGCCACTGAGACTGAGTTTCTCTGTAATGGTCTCTGTCTCTGATAAAGACATTAGAGAAGTTAGAAATTCTTAGAAATTAGCCTTTTAGAAATTCTTGCACTTTAAGAATTTCTTAGCCTCTTAGAAATTCTTGCATTTTCAGAATCATTACTTAAGAGCATACTTTTATGCAGTAATGGATTATTAGTGAAAGAATTACAGGCATCATTCATTCATTCATTTAACAGGCATTTATTGAGAAGGAAATACAGTGTAGTATTTTAGACTAGGGCTTCTCGAATCTTTGGTTTGGTTTCATCAAAATCTACTTGAGAGCTCTAGTGATAAGGAGCTCCACTTCTGGAGATTCTTATTTAGTAGCAGGCAGATGATTCTGATACACAGGCATCTTTGAGAACTTCTGATTAAGAGTAAGGGATACGGAGTCAGACAAACTTGTTTAAATCCCACCTCTGTATTTAGTAGCTGTATAATCTTATATCACTTAATTCTCTAGGTCTCAATATTTCTCATTTTCAAATGAGTGTTGAAGGGAGGGGGATATGCATTACTTAGTACATTGGATTGCTTGGCAGTTAAACAAACTGATATAAGTGATGTTCTTACACAGCTCATGACACAAGAGCCAGTTACTGAGTGTTTTCTATTTCTACTGTTAGCCACAGTGGAGGAAATAAAACAGCCTATAAGCGCTGTCCTCAAGGTGCTGA